CTCCCTCTCTCTTTCTCTTTCTTTAGGCAACACTATGTCATATGCGGAGTGGGATGCACTGCTAAAGAAGAACTTTGAGCGACGCTTCTGGATACCGGTCACGCCTGACTCCGATGTTGAGCGTGAGGGCAGTGAGGCCGAGTACATTCACCGCCGCGGGATCTATAAGGACACTGTTGGTGCAACGCAGCGCTTTGCTGACTTCCAGCTTCGACCAAACTTCCCCATTGCTATGGTTGTGGTGAGTCTGGCCGTGTGTCTATCTGTCGATCTCGGTGTCATACTACAACACACACAATGCGAATCCTTGTACCAGTACTCTGGGGATTTTGGGGACTTTTCATGATGCTATACATTGGTGGCTGTTGCATATAGCTTTCCCTACAGTCCATTTCAAAACTATAGACGCGCAGTGTTTTTGAAATATATCAAATTTGGCTGGAACTTTTTGAGAATAGTTTTCGGAATATTGCTCAGGTCCGCTCCACAATTACTCTCATATAGTTTCTAAACGATTGGATAACAGACGCCCAATTTTGGATAAAATCATGCGCAAAATGATCACAGATTTTATGTGGTATAGATGCTGGCATAATGGTTTTTGCCTAGGTACGCGTCTATAGTTTTGAAACGGACTGTAGTCGACTTGGAGGTCTCTACAGTCACACCTCGCTTAACAGCACATATCCGTTTTCCACAATATCCGGGTAGGCGAGGGAACCGGATAACCGAACACCGGTTATGTTGGACGCATCACGCATGTTGTAAATCTGTAACGGGCTATTTTCTTCTGGATGGCGAGGGATCCGGATAAAAGAGGACCGGATAAGCATGGTCTGACTGTATCACCAGGACTCGACAGGCCCGCGCTGTCTTAGTTTAGTTCACATCGCATATGCGTCGCCGGTGAACCACTGCTACCACTGTCTGACATCTAGTACCTTACCCTTACTATGTGCAATATGTGGCTCCTCTCTGACTACACTATGAGATACACGTGACGTAACTGGTACATTTCGCTCAAGTTGTGTCTTCTTCAGTTTTAGTACAGCAGTCGCTTTTAAAACGCAGGGTTTCTTCTTTATACAGTGCTGCTCAATGAAATCCAGTCGCGTCACTCAAGTACCCGCCGGGCGTTGCACAGCCCTAGACCTGCGAACAGTGGGCTGCGAGATGGTGCAAGGCGCAAACTGGAGTGCCGTGACTGGATTTCATTGAGCAGTACTCTAGTTTGTGTGTGCAGGACTGATGCTCTCGTGACTACTGACGTACCATGGTGTTGTTCTATTTTCCCCCGTGTGACTGCTGCATGTGTAGGCACCGGATCTGTTCACACCTGGCAATGCAGCCATTGCCCTGCAGAATGCACAGGATATCCTGGACGGACCGCAGGGTATGGCCACGCTGGATCCAAAGTAAGCCGCTAGCGTGTGCATGTAGTTGCATTGTGTTTGCTGTGACGTGGGTGCACTGCACCCAGAGTACCAGTACATTGAAACCTGTCTAAGACGACCGCTCAAGGGACCTTCAAAACCTGGTCTCTTTTACCAGGTGGTCTCCTTATCCAGGGTCTTTTGACTGGAAATAGCATTCCTTGGTGCTGGTTTCAGTGGTCTTCTAGGACACGTGGTCGCCTTATCCGAGTGGTCGCCTTGCCAGGTTTTACTGTACATCGTTTTAGTGATGTAGTGCGTACAAGCAGGATTCAAGCAGGTCTCTTTCTGCACAACTGCAGCTAAGCTGTACGCACTACGCCACTTCCGGCCGCTTATCTACACCGACCATGATGTAATCCCGGAATTTTGCCCGTGACAGACACCCATGCGGGAAAAGGTCACACGCTGCTCACTCTGGGTTTCATGTACTCTTGCCTGCACACGTACTACCGCGGTGTATTCTGTAGATTGTGTAGCCTTGAATAGAATAGCCTGAAACTGCAACAGGTTGGTAATACATCGGCAGCGTGGCTGTGCTTACCAGGTATGTGTGACACAGCTGGACTATAAACTTGGGCTGAGTAAATCAGCGTCTACAGGCGTGTTTGACGTGGATGATGGTTGGATTACGGCCTCTGTTGCGACTCCGTAATCGTTCCGGATAACCATTGCTTGATAACTGCATGCTAACGTGTGTGTGTGTGTGTGTGTGTGTGTGTGTCTGTGTGTGTGTGTGTGTACAGGGATTGGGCTTACAACGGAGTTTACGATAACGGTGTGGACTCAGACGACCAAGGCTCTGCGCGTGGTTTCAATTATCACCAGGGACCGGTATGTGCAGTGGAAGAACTTTTTTAATTGTTTGTATTGCACTTCATGAATTTTCATCACAAGATTACAACATGGCATTGGCTAACAAGATAATGTGTGTGTGCGATTTACCTTTTTTAATGCGGTTTTCCGCCAACAGGAATGGCTTTGGATCAAGGGTTTCTTCCTGAGGGCTCGCTACCATTTTGCCTCGGCCAGTCCATCCGCAGAGAACGTTGTGGCGAGCGTTCGCAGTGCCCTAGCTCTTCTCCAGGACGCCTTGCAGGACTCCGAGTGGCAAGGCCTGGCGGAGCTGACCAACGCTGCCGGTGCGGAGTGTACTGACAGCTGTCCAGTGCAGGTCAGTGGAGGTGTCAGGGGATGGGGGGAGGGGACTGTAGAGATGGGTCACACTAGACATGGCCCGATTTTGCTAGCAATTCTGCAAGAAAAATCAAAGAGATTTGAAAAAGAATTTGCTGGTGAAACCGAGCAAAATATCGGTATGTCGGCTGACAATTGGGGAATGTGCACTACAGTAAAATTGATGGCTATTTACCTCGGTGAACAAATTTAACAAACTTGGTGAACACATTAATTATTTTAGTGACGTACCATATTTTTAGGGGTTTAACGTCGAGCCCTAGTCGACGGCTTCAATGGCCAACCGGACAACACAGAGACGTTGAGGCCAAAGAGGATGTTTTATTTTCTTGCGCATGCTTAAGTGATACTAGTGACGTAATAGACAGTGAGTCGGGTCGCTACATATTCGCCCACATACAAGTGCATGCCCTTATATGCGAAAAGTGCTTTTTTTCCATTTCGCCAGGAACAAATGTTCCGGATACAAGGGCATGTCTTTCAGTACGAGTATGATACTCAAGTCTTCAAAATATACTCTTGGCTCTTGAGTTTTCTTTCATGCCTCCACATGTGGAAGTGCCCTTGTATTCGAACGTAAGTGCGTGCCCTTTTATGCGCGTGAATGCGGTATGCAGCGAAGAGACCGTGTTGAGTGTTTGAGTTGAGGAACCCTGATGTGTAAATGGCTGCTATGGAGACGGCACGTACTTGGAGAAGTAGTAGAGCTCTGAAGTAAATAAATAAATGTCCTGGAAGTAAACACTGTGCTGCTCCAGTGTTATGGATGCTACACTGTGTGTGTGTGTACTCCATGCAATGAAGCATGGGCGGTAGCAGCGTCGTGCCTATCGTGGCATGAAAGAAGCCGAAGATGACCTTGTGCTCTCATCCAGTCTTGTGGTAGCTCATCTTAACCGCCGCCCAATGTGTTGCAATCCTTCCTCTTCAGGCTTGGTCAATGAGCTGTCTATTGGAATTACTCCGGGACATGACGAATTGATCATTACAAGTGGGTAATCACTGCGGACCGACAGTTAACGGATATACACTCTACACTGGAACGGAAATCACGTCGCCTTACGATACACTCAGAGGAGGACGCGCTGGATGCGGCTCACAGTGTTGGGCACCTGACATGACCCCCCCCCCCCCCCATTGTCTTGTCATGCTTATCAGTCGCTCCCTCTGTTCTCATATTACCGATGCTGCTGTTGCCACCGTTGCACATAGTGTTGTCACCGGGACTCTAGGCGTCATCTCTGAAACACACCAACTAAGCCAAGCATTAGCACATGCGCTGTAGCTACAGTGCATGATAGCGTTACTCATGTCTTTCTACTTTCTAGTCACATCTAATTACCGCCTCTGACTTCTAGGACAACTGCTATCTACTAACTGCTGGATGAAGAGCTGAAAAAGTAGCCCTTTTAGTTTTCAAATCTCATGACTCACCTATCCACATTTTAGAATTATTTTATAGATACCTAGCCGTTATGTGTCGTTTCTGTTTTTAGTACCCAGACCAGGCCGGATCAGATCAGATCATCATGGTATTTGTTCATAACGCTTTTGAAGTAGCCGCACTGATTTATGTAAACCGTTTCATACCGACTGCACACGTTTAATTTCGGGCGTTTGCCTCAGAAAACCACAATGCCCACAGCTCCAGGGGATCTTCCCTGGCCCGCAGTCCAAGACGATCCCAGCCAGCTGTCTTTGAGCAGTTTTATTTGCCACGTTTAACTACACATTCAATTCGTCGAGTTCAACATTCAATTCATGTTAGGATTATCTTGTTCTGTTTTTTACTCACAGTTTCCGGTCACGTTTAGCAAGCATTTTTGCAATCTTGTGATAACATTTTTTTGCTAATCCATTCCGTATATAGCACCACAGTACTGGCAAGAGGTTGTGCATGCTAGAAAATCTCATACGAGTGCAATGAATGTGTACCTTGCTTGCATGCTTTTGCACAATATCTGGATATGGATTTGGGCAGCGCCTTTAGAATGTTTTTGTGCAACTTCTTCCTCTCATGCCTGAATGTGGAGATGAAAGAGGATATGCCGTGTCTATTTTCATGGTCGCAAAGAGCATGTGGGGGAATACAGTCGCCACCAAAATGCTCTCTGCACCAGGAGTAGTAAAATACCGGTATTTTACTACTCACTGTTTCACACAGCCTGTTACCATGGTTACCTATCATGCATATCATCAAGAGTACATGAAAACATGTACTCTTGATATCATCCTGTCCCTCCAGGAAATCGCGATTCCACGGATGCAACAAATTTCGCGATTTTGGCCCAAACCCGCGATTTTCAGCAAAATCCGCGATTTCCCACGTTTTTGTTGTTTTCTGCACTATATCTCACATGTTTCATGCACTTTTCACACAGTGCTTTCCATGATCCTGTAGGTTATTTGCACAGTATGACTAGTACTACTCCGGAGTAGATATACGATGCAACAAATTTCGTGATTTGGCCCAAATCTGCATTTTTCTGCAAATAATTCCGCGAATTCCTGGCAAGTTCTGCATCATTCCGCACTTTTCGTCGCATTTTTTTGTTGTTTTCTGCCGCAATTTCTTGCGCAAGTTTTCGAGAGTTTTTTCCGCAAATTCCCGCAGAGACAGATCATCAAGAGTCCATAAACAGTTTATGCACTCTTGATACTATTTTCAATTTTCCAAATCCAATTGACATAGTGTCTTCTCACAAACACCTTGGCATTGTAATTGACTCTGCACTCTCTTGGGTGCCCCACATCGAATATATCTGTCAAAAATCAAGCAAATCCTTAGGAATTCTCTCCCCCCCCCCCCCCCACTGTATCTGTCCGTGAATTCAAACGCATGCTACGCGTATTTTACTTCGGTTTAATGTAATGGCTTTCGTAACCTGCTGATGAGGCTCGATAGAATCATGCTACGATGACCCGACTTGTAAATTTGAGATCCATTTTTTCTGCTCGTCTTGACCCTGCCTCCCCTCATTGCTACTTCCATTTTCGTATTTTTATTTTCATTTATTTTTCTCTTCATTTCTGACTCTTCTTACTGGTTGTCATCGCTTCCATAATATTGGGCAGAACTGCCCGTTTGCCTTGCGATGTAAAATATATAAACAACAACAACAACAACAACAACAACAACAACAACACAACAACAACAGCAGCAGCAGCAGCAGCAGCAGCAGCAGCAGCAGCAGCAGCAGCAGCAGCAGCAGCAGCAGCAGCAACAACAACAACAACAACAACAACAACAACAACAACAACAACAACAACAACAACAACAACAACAACAACAACTGCTCCTACCTCCCAATCTCTTGCAAGCTTCTTTTTTATTCAGTCTATCTTCGCCCAGTTCATTGCATTCCCAACTCATCCCAACCACGCGCTCTTCAGCCGAGCCATACAGACACCAGCAAGGACACTTCCGTTGAGAGATGGTATCTTCGCCCAGTATTCGATTACTATGATGCCGATATGTCTTGGGCTGGATTGTCCTCGTCTGCTGCTGCAAAGCTTGAAATACACCACAAGAAAATCCTTTAAAATTCTCCTCCGTCAACCCGGCATGCTCTCATCATCCGCTCTTTATAAACTCGCGCACACAACTCCGTTATCAGTGTTATTACATAGACGCAGTGCACACCTGGCTGCTCTTGTCCATTCTTAAGCTTGAGTTGTGCCCACCTCATCTCATGTGTTTTAATTGGTTCTCTTCTCTAAGAACTGTAGGGACTCGCTCGTGCTTCCCAAGTGTAACTCGTCCACTCTTTTGCGCTCCCCTCTCTTCATTGCTTTTTCTGTTTGGCTCACTCTGCCCAGAGAAGTTAAGGATATGGTCTCACTCCGCCTGTTCAAGATCCGTGCCGCCTCTTATTTACTACGACATAAGTAGCTCGTTATCCACATGTCCTTTGCGTCTCTGTTGCTTTTCACTGTTTTTATTTGACATTCCCTTTCCTCATTGAGTTGTTGTTGCTTTTGATTTGCTACTGTTTTGTTTCCCTCTCCTTACTTTTATTTTTCGCCGTGGTTGGCAATCACCCACTCTCTTAATATTGGCCGGTGTTTCCACCCAGTCTTGAGATGTAATAAATATAAATATAAATAAATCATAGCAAGAGTTCATTTGGGAGGAGGAGTTCCGATTATTTGGGAGTTATGAACTCTTGATCATAGCAAGAGTACATAACACCTAACCTGGGAGTTATGAACTCTTGATCATAGCCGTAGGTGATACCCCAGTGCTGTGCTTGCAACTGAGTGCGGAGGGCAGCTAGAAGTTGTTGTTGTTGCTGCTGCTGCTGCTGCTGTTGCTGTCGCTGTCGTGGTCGTGGTCGTCGTGGTCGTCGTCGTCGTCGTCGTTGTTTCAAATCTTTATTCTCACATTGTTGCTGGCACTCTTGATGTTATTTCTAACACCTTTCTATTTGGGAGAATGAAATCGAAGACACCACTGCAGCTGTACTTATGGTTGATAAATATGGTGGTAAAGACACACCTGGCAATATGGCGGTAAACACACGCCTGCGCACACACGCTCTCTAGGCTGCAAAGTTCTGGCACTGAGCTCTCCTTCTCACCACCACCACCATCAGTTCGCGCCTGGCGCCTGGTCGATGCATGGCTGGCGGTATCCGGCATAGCAGGCTGGTACATCAAGTAGCGCATGGCACATAGATGATGACACAGCAACGACATAGCTCGATTGCGACGTACGTTTCGTCCCCGCTGGACTCATCAGGCAATCTTCTTCTTGGATGTCTTCATACGGAGCTTGACTCGGGAGAATGAAATCGAAGACACCACTGCTGCAGTGGTGTCTTCGATTTCATTCTCACTGCTGCAGTGGTGTCTTCGATTTCATTCTCCC